CCCCAAAACCCCAAAACCCCAAAACCCCAAAACCCCTTATATTAGCTGTGAAATTGGATTAATCAAGGGCATGGAGGCTAGAAGTCATTAAAATTGCCACCAGTGTTCCCAGGCTTTGAGTATTTCATCAAACGCTCTTGATGACGGTCGATTATAGAGTTTGCATGCTTCATAATTCCATGCTTTTCTGTGGATTTTCTCACTGAATCTCTTTCGAAAACTTGTTGGGAAGGATTTGTGCTTTCTGGACTTGACCTGTCAAACTCTATAGTTGATATCATTGGAGGTGAGGATTGGCGACTGGTAATTCTCACAGAACTCTCTGCAATTTTATCATCAGCCCTAAGCATCTCTTTTAGTTTGTCCCTAGTATCCTGTTTTCTAGAAGATTTAGAAGGAATTTTTACTTATCAACTATACAGTTGATGACATCTTCTTGTTTATAGTACTTTGCTGTTGTCTGGTCGAGATCATGAGAGATTGACTTCTCATGATGTTCCTTGACAAAGGATTTGACATGCTCTGATCTATCGTTTTTGATATTATTCCTATGGATAAGAACAGGAGAGTACCTGTGATCTAACCGACTGGAAGCCTCTTGCTTTCCAATCTTCTTCGTAGATCTTGAAATGACATTATTCTTTCTTGCCATAGTTTTGCTCCTTTGGTGAACATTTTTACTAATTTGAGAATTCTTTACTCCAAAGTTACTCATTGGAATCTTTGAATTCTTATTTTTGCTCCTTGCCTTGTCAAGCTTTTCTCTTTTCTTCAGTGCTATTTTTCTGTCTCTTTCCATTAATTCCTTTCTAGTCTTCTTGGGACGATTGAACTGACTTAATTTTTGCTTAGAAGCTGCTAATTCCTTCTTCTTGGCACTAAGATCCTGACTCTTGCCCTTACGATCAGAGGTAACAATCTCTTTAATTTCATATTTAGCAGGAGTAATTGGTCTATCGTCATGTTTATTACCACAGAGATCTTTCATGTGATAATGAAGTGCAATTCCTCCACGAGAACGGGAAGTGTCTCCACCTTGAGAATCCTTTTTGGGTGATCTACTTTGACGGTGATGGAACGATGCGCTTTGTCTTATAGAACTATCCCTTCTTATCTGGTCTTTTGACCCTAACATGAAACTACTGATTTTCTGTTTTTCATATTTCTTGTCGTCGTGAACAATAGTGTTCCTCTGAGGATTGATATATCGATCATCGTCCAAAGAATCGTCCGAATCACGATGCTTCTCACTACTTTTTGTTTTAGATCTAGTCTTTGGTCTGGGCTTTCTCTTCTCAGTGCTATCGCCCCACCAGTTTGGGTAATTGAGTCCAAACTCTATAGCTTCATTTCTTCTCTCGATTTCAGCAGTATTTTGGCGATTTATTTTGATCATAACTTGCTTTGGCTCATAAATTGAGTTGTCCAGCTCCCAACGAGTTGGTGACTTTGATAAATGCTTTTCTTCTTGGTCAGGTTTCACAGAAATATAAGAGGGGATTCCAGCAGGAACATTCTGCTCTTTTGGATTTAATCGTTTTCTAGAGGTCTCCATTTTCCTCTTTTGTAGGAGATCTTCAGTTTCAGAAAGATTTTTCTGCAAATTTTCTGGGTAATGATAGCCTTGGCGACTTCCTTGAAAATAACCACCGTTTAGACTATCTTCGTAGAGGCTTAGCCTTTGAATATTACCTTCCTGGTTGCTTCTCATTATCGGCTGCCTTTGTTGAGGATATCTTCCAGTGAAAGACTGGCTTAACTCGTATGGGTTTTGAGCAACAGGCATCATCTTTGGTTCACCAACATAATTAACAGTATTCGGAACTGTTTGAGCTAAATATTTGTGTTATAATGTTATTTTTGCCAGAATCAAGAGGTGTATAGCATTGAGATGATTAATTAAAATGAAAATTGTTTCTGAAACGAGATTTTAGCAAAATTTTCCGAATAATTTCTTGAATTTTAACAAACCTCTACTAAAGTTTTCGTTGTTCACCAAAACTTCTTGGTGAGCATAATGAGGATGAAGTTGAGTGTAATTATTGACTTGAGGATGATGACTCATACTAGTATACTCTCTTTGAGCACTCTCAACCCCCATATGCACTCCATTCCCATTACTCAATCTCTGTGGTTGAATTCTATCATCTATATACAAAAATCATTTCAAACTGCTCAAAAAGTAGCTATCCAACCTTTCCCACTAACCCTGGGCCCTAAGCTCTCCAAAACCCTCCATTCCCACTTTCTCCCTCACCTTTATCCAACCTAACTCCTCCTTCTTCTCTGATCGTAGCCAATGTATTCTCTACATCCTCAGCTCTAAGATGAACTAGCCCTTGATTCATTGCTTCAAAAAGCTCAATTCCCAGTAAGGCAATATCCCTCATCACAGTGATCTGGTCCTTTTCTCTAAATTTGTACATAAATTCTCTAATCCTCTTATTTCTATGGTATAACTCCTCCATTGAAGCTGCTGACATTCGCAAATAAAATTTATATTTAGCAATTTTTAGAAGCACAAGAGGGGTTTTGGGGTTTTGGGGTTTTGGGGTTTTGGGGTTTTGGGGTTTTGGGG